GCTCGTCGGGCAACAGCTCTCAAACTTGGTGAAGAAAACTATGGATCTTTTTTTTCGCGCTCTGATTTGAATTCGCATGTACTTGCACGTTGGCAGCTAGAAAATGAGAGAGTTAATTGGCCAGGAATAATTAAATTTTTTATTGAACACCGAGTATCTTTGCCAAATTCAAAAACTCCAACTAGCCATTATCTTGCTATTGTTGATTGGTATAGAAGAGATTCACAAAAACAAAGCTATTTTTATGTAAAATCACGTGATAAATTATTCAAAAATATATTATCTACAAATGCCGATGGAACTTACCATGCGGAATTGTGGGAAGACCGATTCGTTGAGCGAGGAATTGTAACTATCTTACCAATTCAAAGGATAATCGGTCGATTTGTTAAAAGCAATGGAATAAAGTTATCTGGAAGTAAAAAAAAATATGTCGTCATTATACCACTAAACCGAAAATTTTCAGTATAATAGTAAGTATTAATTGTATTTATTTTTATATATAAATAAGATAATAAATACTACTGATTAAAAATTTGATATTATTGTATCAGCTCCGAACAAAAATTATTTATATATATCTGTTTACGTCTTATTCGTAATTACTTTTTTTAGTCTTACAAAAAAATTTCTTTCATGGCAAAAGCTACTTTAAACTCCCTTTCAACAAGTATTACTAGCTTAACTCAAAGCGTAAATGAAATGAAAACTACTTTAAATTCTTCAGATATTAAAAATCAACTTGAAATAACAAAAAATTCAATCGATTCTTTAAAACGTCGATTTGATATTTATGAGCAAAACCAGAATGAGATTGCAACTACTATACAGCGTATTAATAGTGAACATGGAATTAAAATACAACGTCTTGAAGATACATTAATAACTGCAACTACTACATTAGAAAATTTATCAACTTCTACTTCGGCACTTCAAGATACTACAAACAATATATTATCACATATTCAGAGTTATGACAATAATATTTCAAGTATAACAAATACAACAATTAACTCTCCACGCGCTATTACGGTAGCAAATCCTGTGCTTACTGCAAAAGTTCATGACAAGATGCGTTATTTTAATGGATTTGATGATGAATCTCAATCTCAAGATCGTAATTATATATATGACTTTGAACTTGGTCCTAAAAACCGGAAAAACAAAAGAATTACTCGAAATTATGTGGATCTCTTTATTAAGGAATTTGATGTCCAATTCGAAAACACACGTATCTATTTTTAATTTATTACTGTAGTTACAAACTTTTATAATATTTAATAATTCAAATTATTTTCTAGAAACTAATGAAAAATGGAATGAAACTACAATCACTGAAATCTGTGAAGCTTACTTTAAGACATTGAAAAAAGAACGTAACACTACTCCGGCTGCAAAAATGTTGAATGATCAACGCTCACGACGGCGTAAGCGACGTGATACAGTAAATATAAAAAATTTTACATTGTTAATTTTGTATCGATTATATAATTATTTTACACACTATTATTTTATTGGTAAAACTACTTTTTTTTAGAAATCACTTAACCGATTAGCCGCCTTAAACAAAATTCCTGAAAGCAATTTAAATTATCCTAAAATTGAAGTTGAAAAGTTATTTTCTTTTGAGGTGACATCCCCGGAAGTGTCTGATGCTGAAGAGATTCCAATATCTGGCTCTGATGATTTAGATATATCTCAATCATTTAGAAGAAAACTATTAGTACCGGTTCTTCCTTGGATAAGCGACGAGGTATAATATTTTGTTATTTACTGTATATACTATTAACAAACTAAAACTACTAATATTTTATTATAGGCAATTCATATCCGCGGTCTTGTAGAGGATTTGATTAACCGAAATCGAGTGGAAAAATTAAATTCTGGAGGCCGTCATTCTTACACTACTCCTCTTCCACGTGAAATTATTAAAATGGACGATCCAAGATGGATTACGATGCGATCAATGATTCCTCCAAAACCGAAAGACCTCCCAAATTGGGCATGGAATCAAATCGATCCAAGCGAATACTTTGAAAATTCTGATGACATAGATGATGACATTTATGAATAATAATCGTGAATTGAATTTTAAATATAGATATTTTTATTTTATCAATCATAGAGATTATTTGTATGTAACATCGATACTCTGGTTATAGAGTATTCTATATATATTCTGTACTTTTTTTAATATTACGCTTAATAAAATGCTGGCATAATCTCTAGAAAACTATTGGAATATCACTAACTATTACAACTATTTTCTAAAACGATTCATAAAATTATACTAAAAATAATCGCTAAAAAAACTTTTGGAAAACTATTATTAAATTACATCTGGAATACTTGAGTAAAAGTTGCACATCACACCACAAGATCGACATGTTAAAACATCTATAATTACTATAAATAATTAACTAAAAACCTTTAGAAAACAGTAAAAAAAGCCGTTATCCGATAATGGTTTTCTAGCATAATATTTTTGGAAAAGGTTTATAGTTTTACCTGTGATGTGTAACAAATTCAAAATTCTAATTATGGGCGCTTCATGAAATCAATAAAGTATAATATAGTAATAGGCGACGCTTAAATCAATTATTAATCATTGTTATTAATAATATTATTTATATCATATATCATCCTAGAATTGGTGCTTTCTTTTCTTAAGATTTTTATAATAAACTTTTGGCGTAATCTATGAAGATTTTTAAATATCAAATACGGTGGTGGAAATGAGGAAGTTGTGTTAAAAGTGATATCCTTATACGTAGTTAGGAGTAAGGTTGGCAATGAACTATGATTAGAGATGGGCATTCTGTATTATGTGCATTACATTATGCTTTGCATAATGTCGCATAATGTAATGTAGACATTTTAAAATTTAAAAGTGCACGTAGAAATTACTATATAATTTTAATGCAACAAAAATTAATAAAATATTGTATTTTATATCATATATAATACTAAGTGATATGTAGAATTAGTTAGTGATTTCCTACTTGTATAAAGCAGGCTAACTAATATGAGGTTTGAAAATAGTAAACCTCTGTCTTTAGATAAGAAAGATTGGGTATGAATCTTGCTTATGATTGCATAATGTCGCATACTACATTATGCTGCATTATGCAATATGTTCTGAAAAAAATTCAATGAACATTGTCTGGGTCAATGAACATATTCCATTTGTAGTTACTAAGCCATATTTTTGGTCTATTAACCAACCCTAGTTAGGAGTGCAAAGAAATTCTTTTGGGGTGCTTAGTATTGATCGATTATTAATAAACTGTGACCAAATATTAAGCTTAGAGGCCAAATATTTACCAAATTACAACTTAATTTCATAAATTCACCATAATGTTTTCTCTTAGTTCAATTGTTTTTTTAACATATTTCAGATTTTGTCTTCAGGTTTATTATTGTTATTTACTAGGCCCAGCCCTACTCCAAGACATACAGTATATGATACGTAAGTAAATTTAATTGAGTCTGGTAAATAATAAATAATAATCGAAGTCTGGTTTTCTAACCTAGAGATATTGATTAACAGTCAAAATTAGTATTATTTAAGTAGTCAAAATTTCAGGTTTAGCATTTCATAGTTCTATATAATTGATTTTTGTAATAAAATTTTTTACTAAGTCAATTCAAACTTTTTTTTTAGGAATGCAAAAAGGCTTTGGACTACATTTTTTTGAAAATGTGTTATTTATTTTGTAATGATTTATCTAACTGCAATGCATGTTATCTATATTGATACCGGTACAAATTTACTTTACGAATTAAACTTTAAAAGAATGCAATTACAATGACTGTGTTACACAAAGGTTATGTCATGGCATTGTTAGACTTATTTATGATAATAAAAATGAACAGGTCCCACGACTTTTCACACTATTGCAAAATTGGTATGACTTATACTTTATGAATATCGATGGACATTTATTTTTTTGCAAATATTTATAATTACTAGCGTTAACCCATGCCTTGGCTAGGTAAGTGGCACAGAGGTCATTGGCATGCCCAATGCCCAGATTGCCTATAGGCATGCCATTTATATATATTCCGAAAGGTTCCGAATAAAAAATAAAATAATGTAAAAAATTGCAGCAATGCTCAGAAGTATTCCGAAAAGTTATTTTATAGTAGATGATAACTGACCAATCCCAATTGAGTATATTATTACGTGGTTTAATGGCATGCCAGGGTGGCATCCTGGCACGAACTTTAGCGGTTAGCATGCCATATGGCACGCAATATTTTTTAGCCGTGCCATTTACCCTAGCCTTGGCATGGGATCCAATTTTTTTGATAAATCTAACCAAAAGCTTGACACAATGCACAGATATTAAAATATTTGTCAAAAAAATAATTAAAACAAACACTTGCTAGTAAAATCGTGAACACAACATAAATTTTCCTACCAATACTAAAATATATTAAACTAATCAACACTAAGTTGTAAAGCCACCCATTTTAAAATGTTGATGATAACCATTGTTAAAAATACAGACCTACCCATTGCTGAAACTTAACAAACCTATTCTCTAAAATTGTGAGCCTATCCACTATTAAAATCATGAACTTACCCATTATCAAAACCATAAATTCACTGCTTATCCACTACTAAAATCATTAAAATATCATATTTTATTGGTATCCACTACTATTGAAATTGAAATTACAAATCCACCCACCGCTAAAGCTACGAACAATTGAAGTCACGTATCTTACTACTGAAATCGTGAACCCATGCTACTGAAATCATTAATCTATCACTACTCAAATCATAAACTCCACCTACTGTTAAAATCATAAATCTGTGACTATACTTGCCAAAATATGAGACCCAATTCCAAATCCCAAATCCTACTATCAAAATCTTAAAGTACAAGTGCCAAATTAGGTACAAATCCCAAATTAGGTCCAAATTCCAAATTAGATACAAATTCCAAATTAGTATTAGATACAAATTCCAAATTAGATACAAAATTTAAATTAGATCAAAATCTCAAATAGTATCAGATAAATTCTAAATTAAAAATAACTTTTATACATCCAAACTATTTGAGATAACAGAGTTATGAAAAAATAATTACCGATATTAATTTTATATAATAAATCGGCCATTACTATATATTATAAATTTACTATTTTCTTGAACATTATAGATTAAACTATTAAATATATAAAATATTGTGAAATAAAAATCTTTGGATATTTTATTTGATGCTGTTTATACTATAGATTAGATTTTTTAATATAAATCTTATTATAATACAAATCTTGTTATTTAATCTAGTAAAATCAATAAGTAGACTGCTAAAAAAAATACAAATTTATTTATTCTAATTTATCAAGCAAAGTATCGATATCAAAATTGGGATCGCCATGATTAATAACATCAGAATTACTAGAAATATCATCATCATTATTATTTAAAATTCTATGCTCTAAACAAATAAAATTTTCTATTTCTAATTGCGAAATATTTCCATTTTTAGTATCTGACAATTTTTCTTCATTTGATTCTTCATCAGCGAATTCTTCTTCTTTATAGTTATTTTCATTCTTATCATCAAACATATCACACTCTTCTATCATAGCATATGTGATTTCATCAAAAACTTGCATTAATTTGTCTTGCAAATTTCTGATTTAACAAACTTAAGTTCATTTCTTGCATTAGTAACAAGGTATGAGTGAATTTGCACCATACTTTCTAAACATGATATATTAATCCTAAATACAAAAATAATAAATATTAAGACTAAAATTAAAAATTAAACATAATTTAGAAAATTTTATTACTTTGTACGATATTTTCCCATATACCAGTTTAGAATAGAAAAAACACGTTCACAAACTGCATTATGAGGTGTAATTGCATTTAATTGTAGAGCTAAAGTACGAATATGATCTTCATTTTTTTGAGTTACGAATATTATCAACTGATTCAATAAATTTATCCTTAAATGGAGGTTCCCAGTTTTTGTATAATCCCATTTGTATTCTCAAAATTTCAGCACTAGTTACTCTACCACCAAACTGCTTCCAAAGAGTTAATGCTGTTTTGACTGTTCGTCTGTATATTTCAAATTGAAAAAGATCTGCTAATTATATAGATTAATTGATAAAAGTAAATTATTATATTGATAAATTGATAAAAAACAAATTAT